ACGCCGGCTGGTAGATCCACCCTAGGAGTTCGTGGATGACAGTGTCAAAGGTTAAGGCAGCTCCCGGGATTTTTGTCAGCCGGGTCGGGCCATACGTCCAGTTTAGGAAGGGTTTTTGGAGGACATTGAACTGACCCAAAACTAAGTACAATCCGGAATCCTCCTCAACCTAGGCCTTAGTAGTACCCCCATTCATTTGGTATTCGTGAATGGGAGGTGGGGATGTTAGTTAGTTTCTTACTCCTATCTTTGTTGGTTTACTTCCGGTTCGTCAGTTTCTGTGTCCGTCTCCGAGTCGGATTCCGGAAGTTGATACAGTTTTTCCGTCTCCTCCCGCATACGGTTTTTGTGGGAGCTGATTTGTTCCCAGCTGGCAAGATCGGTTTGTGAGAATTGGATTGTCTGCGCCAGGGTGTCGTGGAATGTGTAGCAAGGTCTACCGACTTTTTTTTCGATGAGGTCTAAATTTAAGGTGGCTTGTAATATGTGGTTTCGGCGTCTACGCTTGGCATGTGCCCAGTATTTTAGTTGTGCCACCCTGACACGTTTGGTGATTGTTTTTCCTTCTAGGAGGACTCTGGGAGATTGGTTCTGTACGTCCGCTAGGTCAGTCGTAAACAAGGTGAGTATTTTGCGTTCGAATTTTCGGAGGTTTTGTCGGTTTGCTTTGGTCAGTGCGCATGTGTTCAGTGCGTATGTCACCGTGGGGGAGATCACGGTTTAGTATATCAGCTTCCGGAGCTTCCACGAAAGATTATAGTTTTTTATAAACGTGTTTATCGAACGCGCTGAGCGCGTGGCTGCTTTTATTCTTTGTTTTGTCGTTTCAGGACGGTTTAAGGTGCTGGTAATAGTGGCACCGAGGTATTTAAGGCTGTTTTCGAGCTGGAATGTAAACGAGCCTATTTTTTTGGGCCCGGTGTTGTGTAGTCTAGTCGGGAATTTGGGGTTACGGATTAGTATTTTGTTTTTTTTGTTCGTTTAGTTTTAGACCGTTTGCGTTCATATGTTTGGTGAGAACCTCGGTGAATCTTACGATTTCTGTTAGGTTTTATATAATTTGTAGATTAAAAAATATATATATTTTTAAGACTCAGTTTTTATTGTATGAATGAACTTATGGAATTCTGCAGATCCAGCAGTTTTTTGTTGATGTTTTTGTTTGCCATTTTATTGCAAATATTAGCATTTACGCCAAAGTTATTTGTAGCAGTGGCGGCTCGTCAGGGTAGGCCACTGAGGCCGCGCCTTACCCTCAAAATGAAGTAACGAACGACCTTTTCAATTTAGATGTTTACCTATTACAAGAATACTTTTAGTAAGTCTTTTACTACAGTTCTACACAATAAAAAGTAAATCAATCATACTAAGCATAAATGGGTGAATATATTAAGATGCCCCCAAGTAAAAATGATTATTTTTTTATTTTTGGTTGTTTCTAGAATGGGGTTTTTGGGAAGCCACCAGGTCTAGTAATAACATAACATAAGTGGTTCTGCACTAATGCAAGAATTTTAAGAAATCATACATTTCGAATATTAGAGTTTCACGGAAGATAGCTTCACGGAGGTTAGGATTTCGTATGTTTTTTTTAAACATCCCTTTGTATATTTGAAATAAGATATTGTATCTTTTGACACCTTAATATTTTTTAAAAATACAATTGTACATACATGTTATTTATAAAAAAAATGTACTAATATTACACTTCACGGTGGCTAGGTTTTGAAATGGCAAATTAATGAACTTAAACTTTTGAATTATAAAACAGCAACACTCTCATCTGCATATAAATTCTATCTGACCTTCAGGAATCACATGCATCTATAATATCGTCTATCAGAGGTTTTTGCTTATTTAAAATGATTAAAGCGCCATCCGTTGCATAAAATTTAAATAAAAAACAGATTCACGGAGGATATAATCAATTTTTGTAACACCTACATAAATGGTTATAAAAATTATTTCTTTTAATTTTTAATAATTTATATTTGATTTGATTGCTTTGGATGTGTTTAATTTACTTAGTGAACTGATATTTTTGGTATGCGTTTACTACCTCAGATATTTGAAAACAAATAGGTTAACCTAGAAAGAGTAACAGTCACGGAGGATAGGTTTTAGACTTTTAAAACATTGTAAAAAATATTCATTGCGGTTAAAAATCTGGAACCTGAGCTGTAATATCTTCATTATGAAAGATCAAAACACAATTAAAGTGTAGGACAAACTCATTTAGTTTTATTAAATATCACGGGGTAACACCATCGAGGGACATTTCGTAAGATTCACCCAAATGGTAAATTAAAATCCACGCTCAAACCGCGTCGCTTCCAGCAAAGAGCGTAAACTATTTACCTACTAATATATTAGGCGAGATTTTTTAACACATGACTGAAGATGTGGTGGATGGCAGTTTGTGTTGAAGTGTTTGTAGAGCGGGTGTTTTTGTTTTGATTGAGATTAAATTATTTAAAACTGTTGTCTGATCTATTAAAGTTTTTGTCTCGATTAGTAGAATGTATTATTTTTATATTGTGGTACACGCTACACGGGTAGAATTAGCAGTTTTAGGTTTTTAAAATACCGGTTTTCTTTAGTTAAATATTTCTGTTTTTCTTTTTTTTAATGAATTCTTTTCATGACATTATTCTCTTAATAATTGAATTGCCTTTTTTTAAGAAAAAACGAAACTATGTGTGCCAAAAATTTTGGCAGTGGGTATACCCAAATATATATATTTTATTTGTTTCTGGAACTTAGCAGTTTTAGGTTTTTAAAATACCGGTTTTCTTTAGTTAAATATTTCTGTTTTTCTTTTTTTAAATGAATTCTTTTCATGACATTAATCTCTTAATAATTAAAATGGGCAGTGCCAAAAATTTTGGAACTTAAGATTGCTTTGATATTTTTTGTTTTGTTTATTTTTAGTTATTTTTTTTATTTATAATGGTTTAGTGGTGAACGCGTCGTATTTTCAAGGAAAACTTTGTTGTATGATATTTTTCATAATTTTTACAATTTTCACCTGAAGATGTCATTATAACAACATTTTAAGCATAACTAATACCCCATATACAATTTTTAAAAATAAGCAAAAACTGAAACATGTGACACAAATGGTTTATGAAATACTCACCCTAGAGATTTCAAATTTGGTACACATAACTAAATAAAAAATGATCTATCTAAAGGCAATTAAATAGCAATTTAGGTTAATAATCAAGTACTGTCTGTCCACTCTAAGTTGGCGGAACTAAGGAATTTTGTAGTTTAGATATTAAAGAATTGTCGTACTGTGTGCTTTTAAAAGAGATTTTATATTATAAATAATACTAGTACATATTATATACTAGTATTAATAATAATATAAAATCTGTTTTAAAAGCAACCAGTACGACAATTCTTTAATATCTAAACAACAAAATTCCTTAGTTCAGCCAACTTAGAGTGGACAGACAGTAATGAAATTATGGCAGCATTCTGTATAAGGACAAGAAAACAAATAGAAGGAAAAATTATTTGATGCGCAGGATGAAATTCGATGAGGGCAAAGTTCAAGCAACTTCAATTATATTTAACGCCAACACAACTGTGCTACTTTTAAGCTTTCTTGACTTTGATAAAAAGGTGATTTATTTACCTTAAGGAAGCAAAAATGTAATTCACGTTACACTATTTGATTCCATGCGTTGCGGCTTATATGTACGAGCCCTAACCACATAATGTTCGGACACTTCATAATTTATACAGAAATTTTTTTCGTGAATACTATCTCAAAATTATTAGAAGTTATGAAAAATTCAGCTTATTTTGGCATATACCCCTCGAAGCGATTTTTATTTTTAAAAAGTTTACCTTTTATTTTTAGCTTTTAAAAAAAGGCTAACTTTTTAACTTTTTTTTGCATGAGTAAAAAAAGTTATAAATGGGCCCATTAAAAAGAACATAAAATATTATACAAACCCTGAAAATTTGGTAAAAATTGTATAAATAATAAGAAAGTTATAGCGATATATATATCTGCAAAATCTCCCGTTTCCTAAGAAAATTGCAAAAACTCTTTAAAAATAGCATTTTTAAATTACTTATACTTTTTTATAACTTATTTATTTTTTACCAAATTTTCAGGGTTTGTATAATATTTTATGCTCTTTTTAATGGGTCCATTTATAACTTTTTTTACTCATACAAAAAAAGTTAAAAAGTTAGCCTTTTTTTAAAAGCTAAAAATAAAAGGTAAACTTTTTAAAAATAAAAATCGCTTCGAGGGGTATATGCCAAAATAAGCTGAATTTTTCATAACTTCTAATAATTTTGAGATAGTATTCACGAAAAAAATTTCTGTATAAATTATGAAGTGTCCGAACATTATGTGGTTAGGGCTCGTATAACCTATTTCAATTTATGATTTAATATTTAATGTTAAATAAGTTTAAAAAAAAATACAACCTCGACTTGACTATTTTGCAATTGCCATATAATTTTCGTTTTTCAGTAATGTGTAGATAAAATTGGGCGAACTATTACATCTTTTAATATACAGGATGATATTTTAAAACTGTTGATGCGTTTCTGAACAGGTCTTGTGAGGATTTTTAATACAATTAGTTGAATGACCAGTAAAATTCCGAATAATAAAATGATTAAAATTTATCTAACCAGGTCAAATTTTAGTACAGAATCCCTCGAAGTATTTTTATATGTTACGAATTGTTTATAAATAAAAGTTTTAACAATTTTCAATAAAAATATTATTTTTTTACATTTATAAGTTTTATGATTTTCATTTAATAAATAAATCAATATTGCAATCGGTCTACATTTTTTGATAATGTTTATGTTGATTTATTAATATAAAACTATTTGATTGGTAACCAGGTTTGTATATATATAATATATCATATATTATATACATATATATCATATTGATTATTTCGTGAATATATAAATATTAAAATATTTTATTTTCGCATAATAAATTTTCGTTATTTACTTACCCAACTCGCTTAATTCATTGCTGTCTGCCTCCTGTAAAAAATAAAAAATATTTTCATTTAAAAAATCAAAGTTCGAAATGTTTATCTAAATAAGTTTTAAAAATGGGTATGCTGTGATTTTAGACATTGGAAATTAAAATTATATGAAATTTAATTGCAGATTTCATCATCACATATTTAAATTTTTAACCAATAAGTACCTAAGTGATTAATTATAATTTATCAGGTTTATAATAAAAAAATCACAATAATAAAAATGAAACGCATTTTCGTGTGACGCCATGCTTTAGTATCTTGCATGAGAAATATATTTTTACATATACAGTGACCGGTAAAAGTATGGAACAAATTCATTAAAAAATATTTCTAAAAAAAATTCTTGATTGGGTCGATCTTGTTTTTGAAGTACGCACATTTTGATGTACAATTTTCATATTTTCCGCCATTTTTGGCGTAATCGGCCATTTTTTTAAATTGTACCCACCTCTTTTTTGGAATATGTTATGAAATTGTAATTTCAACAATATGCACAATATACATATAATTATACCTTTTGGGCTGATAGTTTCGGAGATATTAATTATTAAAAGCGAAAGGTTTATCGTTTTTAATAATGTCATAAGACGTCATTTTGTCGCACGCGGACAATTTATTTATTTATGGTACATCTTAGAAACATAAAAAAATATGATACCCACACAGAAAAAACGCTAGCATAGCATGAATGGGTGAGCCATTAAACCAATGGGATCTTGTAATCCGTATTCCTGAATAACAGTTCCTATAATACCAATAGGTAGTTAGCACTTGGTTTATAATCGTTTACTGTTTTTAAATTAACAACAAAAGTTATCGCTCCTAAATCTACTGATATTCATATTGATATTTATTTGTTAGAATGTTATTGCATTAAATACTAATTTGATTTATTTAATAACGTTACTATTGTATGTATACTATGTATATATTTAACGCAATAAATTCTTTGACATTTAGGCAAAATATTTCCCTATTTTGTTTTAATAGTAATTAATTGAGCAAATAACAATTTATATTGCTTCAATTTTAATGCATTCAATGTAAGCGCTGTTCTTGGTACTATGTTAGATTTTTTTATGTGCACAAGAGGGCTAAATTACTAAAACTAACACTACAACTAAAGCTAACACTAAAACATGCATAAAATAGGACTTTAGCTCCATAACATCCACATTGAACATGTCAATATTATATTTATTAATTATTATATTCTCTGATGTTGCATTGAGGTCATTGGGGTCTTATTTGACGTATCACGGTGAAACAGACTAGTGTTGTGAATTCTTAAACTCATTTTAGGGACATAAAACTGTATATTGTTAATAAAAAAGCATAATTTATATTTAATATTGTTAATTATGTAACCAGTGTTGTAACAGTTACAATATTTTCAGTATCTAGCTACAGTTACAGTTACTTACCAAAATTTGTTACTAGATAAATATACATATTTTATTGCAGTAACTAGTTACAGATACAGTTACCTTCAAAAAGTATTTAGATACTTTAAGATACATACAAATTATTTTTTGCTTTAAAAAATTTAAAATAGAAATAAAAGGGAATTTTAAAGTGACAACAAAAATATACATGTTTATTATTTTTAGTTTTTTTATAATACACTCACAGGCAAAATAATCGATCCACACAAATTTTCGATGAATTTCAATCGCAAATAACTTGTTTATTTGATGTCGGATTTAAACGAATATTAAAGAATATTGTAGATAAATTAATGGACAATCGCTCACATTTTAAAAAATTACTAAAAAATAGACGTACATTTATAATACAAAAATGTTTTTTTTACCATAAGTTTAAGACACTCTGTAGAGTGGCAAAACCGTATATTGTTTTAAAATAAGTTTTATTTATCATTCTTAACAGTTTTGTTTTTGGTTCACCTCCATATATTTCTTTTTGTGGAAAATATGGATTTTTTAAAAAAACATTGCAATTTCCAATATTTTTCTGTATGAAGAACTAAGGTTGCTATGGTCCATCCATAGGCTATGAAGAATGGCAGTGACAGTTTTGTTGAATCATCCCATACTTGGACATGTCATACACGGCTTTCAAAAGCTATCAAATTGTTTTTTTGCAAAATAATGTTTAAATTTTGAGGTGTCTTCTTACTTAAAAAAATGGATATGTCTCAGACTGATGTTGCCAGAGCCATTAATATAATCCAGGATGGACGGTCACAGTATTACGTGGCAAGTGTTTTAAACGTCACAAGAAGTAAAGTACAAAGGGCAACATTAGTCGGAGACATTTTTAAAAGTAAGAAGACACCTTAAAAGTAACACATTAATTTACAAAAAACAATTTGATAGCTTTTGAAAGCTGTATATGACGTGTCCAAGTATGGGATGATTCAACAGAACTGTCACTGTCATCCTCCATAGGCTATGGATGGACCATAGCAACCTTAGTTCTTCATACAGGAAAATTATTGGAAATTGCAATGTTTTTTTTTAAATCCATATTTTCCACAAAAATAAATATATCAAGGTGAACCAAAATCAAAACTGTTAAAAATAGATGTGACTTGATAATTAAAACTTAATTTAGAATAATATACGGTTTTGCCACTGTACAGAGTGTCTTAAACTTATGATAAAAAACATATTTTTGTTTAAACCTGTATATTATAAACGTACGTGTATTTTTTAGTAATTTTTAAAATGTGAGCGATTCTCCATTAATGTATCTACAATATTCTTTAATAGTTGTTTAAATCCGAAATTAAATAAAAAAGTTATTTGCGATTGAAATTCATCGAAAATTTGTGTGGATCGATTATTTTGCCTGTGAGTGTATTTAATTTAAAATAACTTATTTTTTATAATTTTTTTTTAAATAAATAATAGTCGCAGTTTAATTAAAAATGTATCTTTGTATCTTAACACACCTAGTTACTTAGAATTTGTAACTAGTTACAGTTATAGTTACTAGATTGGGATAAGTAACTAGTTACACAAACAGATACATAAAAAGTATCTAGATACTGTATCTAGTTACTTGTAACTAGATACGTTACAACACTGTATGTAACATACAAATAATACTAAATGCATCATCCGCCTTATTTCCAAAGATTGAATGTTGAACGAGCGACGAATTTTACTTTAGATAGTTGGTATCACAGTCATTGGTTTGATAGTTAATGTCAAAATCGATTCGCAATGCCGTCCTTAATTTACTTATTTACAATAAGCGGCTGTTAATGTTAAAGAGGAAAAATAGGATTTTCTTTGGTGTTAAACAAAATGTATTGCCTGAAAAGTCTCGTAAGTACTAGAAAAATCATAAAAATATTATAACCAATATGCAAAATATGCTGTTTAAAGTATAGCCAAGCTATAAAATCAAAATTTTGGGTGGGATAAAGTATCTCATTACAGCACCGAAAGCGGTGTTATAATGAAGTCATTATGAACGCAAAATAGATAAAATATTTCATTTCAAGGTCAAACTTTTTTATTTTCTATTTGTTTGTTAATAAAATAACTTAAAACAAATATTCACTACTAGATGTAAACACTTTTAGTTGAGCGTTCAGGGTCTCTTAAGCGTTCTCCAAATATTTCGAAGTATTTTTTGTATTCGAAATATTGGTTATTACAGTGTAAGTTATATAAATATAAATACATTTAAATATAGTTATATTTAAATATAAATAAATTAAAAATATCCATTTTTACCTACGATACATCTCATACCAACAAAGTCAAACCCGGAAATACTGATTAAATAACTAAAAGTTCCTCCATATTATTTACAATGTTTAACGTTAAAATTAATAATTTCAAACAAAAACAATAATGTTTACATACACAGAATAAAGTGCATAACATGCAGTCTTTTGACGTTCAATTCTGCCGTCATAAGCATATTCTTGTCTTCGATTGTAATCCTATCTACGAGCGCAACAAATGAATAAATAAATACCCACACATATTGTTGCAAGCTATACTTCCTGATCTTTTGCATAAGGCAATCAGATTTTTTATATTATTCCTATATGTTTTATTTATACGTCACACATAAAGAACACCTAGGTTAAATCTTTGGATTTATAAACTTATTTGTGGACACATGCATGAGTTTCACTGCAAAATGAAATATAAAATTAATTCATAGAATAGGAATTTTATGCCCAATTGACTTATAAATCATTTTATTGGATATTATAATAAATTGTGCAACTGCAAAACAGATACCGTTATAATATTACCTACATGAATTTTATTTTGCAAACACAGGGTTATACATTTTATTTACACCGCATATTCTAGTAATAGAAAACCTTGACTGGGTGTAATGTGACTGAGCATAATTATTAACATTTTTTTAATTTAGCATAACATGAGTACTCAAACAAATTTATTTAATTATTCAGGAATGTTCATTAGGCCTACTCTCCTAAACTTAAATAGTCAAAATTCTACTTTTTGAATTAGTGCCAGCATTGTTTACTAAGAAAATAGTCGTTTTCACTTTTAAATAGTTATTTTTACTACTTAAATAGTTAAAGTTTGACTAATTTAAGATAAGTCATGGTTTCTAAGAGTTAAAAGTAATTTATTTCTTTAATCGTTTTTAATTGGTCCTTTTCTAGCATTAAATTATCTACAAAAAATCCCGTCCAGTCTGTAGATTGAACTGTTTCTTTTTTATTATCGTTGAAACGAATAAATTCTAAAAAAAATTAATGTTTTTACATTTAGCGGCTAAACTACTCATCGTAGAAAAAAAGTCAATTAGCAATTTTGAAGATCTCTTAATGTTCTACAAATTCGTTTTAATTATTTTTTTTATCACCTACAGTTCAAAAGTTATAAGTGTCTAAAATCCTATTTTCATGATTATGCATAATATATTATTATAATATTCACTATAGGAAAAAAGTTTAGGGACAATTTTGCAGGAAACTCGAAGCACTATAAATAACGTACCAAGATTCTCAATTAATCGCTGAATTTAAGC